ATAATTTAATATTATAATATTGAATTTTTCATTTTCATATATATAAAATTATTCATTTCGAAAGAAAAAAATTATATAATTGCATACTTTTTTAGTTATAAGTTCATAATTAAAAAAATATAAGTCATACATAATTAAATTTAAATATTACCATGATATATAACCAAACAAAACATCTCATTAATCTTAACTAAAATACTCTAGTATAATTTATTTATTTATTTATTTCTACTAATAAAAAAAAGCCCGAGTAGGCCCAAGCCCTAGGCCTTATTATGAGTGGGCTTGGGCTTGGGCTTGGATCTGGACACTATTTTTTTGGCACATGGCCCGACCCGACCCGATCCGCTAAAAAGAAGGGAGCCTGCAGGGTCTGCTTGGGCCGACTCGAGCCTGAGCCTGGATGGGTCGGACCGGACAGGACAATTATTACATCCCTAGTGAGAAAGGTGTTTAATGACTAATTGGCAAATTGCAACTCACAAAACACACATACATATACTCATTCAAAAATTATTCTAAAAATGTCCAATAAAAAAAATGTTTATCCTAAAAAGCATGCATCTCATGAGTACCTCACTTTTAGTTCTTAGATTTAAAAGAATATATTTGAACAGTTGATTTGATTTATTATAGACTATTTATAACCATCTTCGCCACTTTCTCTCTTCTTCTCATTCTCTCTCTTTTCATAGAAAATCAACACCAATTTCGAAAGTTTTTCAAAATCATAAGGAACCATGACAGAAATCAACATGAGGATCTATTAAACTCATTTAATAAATCAAAATCATATTAGAAATTAAATTGAAAATAAAAAATCATTTCTAAAATCAAAACCCATTTAAAAAACGAAAACCATTTCATAAGGATCAATTATTATTTCAGACCCAAGGATCAGTTTATATCCATACTACAAAATGAGTCAAAAAAAAAAAAAACTCTTTCAATCCATCTAAATATTTCAATAAAGTTGCTCTACTAATTTTTGAACAACTTCACATCTCTTTTCATTCTTATCTTCTGTATATGTCTCTTATAATTCTGTTGATCAAGCTTTCATTTATTCAAACGTCATTTTCTTATCACTTAAAAACAAAAACGTAAGCTAGCCGGCAGGTGTGTGGCAGAAACTCCTCCTATGCTTAAGTTAGCAAGTAGACAATAGACAAAAAACTCAGTGTATTCGAGAGTAAGAATTGCGATACCTAGAAACAGGTTTTGTAATGAGATTTTATAGATTTCATATGATACAATCTTATTAAGACTCGATTTCTCTTTGATAAAGTCCTCCTAAGAATCCCATTCCTAAAGGATAACGCTTATCATTCGAACAACCTTCTTACTCCAAGTCAAGTAAGATGGCAAAACATTTGCTCGGTTATTCATGCCCGACCGAGCTACCTTGCCACGACCTTCCCCTAACCGAATTCTGCAACCGCCTGATTGATACTCAACCGAACTACAACTAAGCTGGTTATTCTTCTTCGAAATCCGTAAAATCTATAATCCGATCCGGTCTAGTCCGATTCGATAGGTTTGGATTAGTTTTTTGAATCCATGGTTCTGTTTCGGATTGAAAATTTAAAAATCCGTAGGCCACGGATCGGTTTTGGATTGAACCCCATGGTTCTGGATTGGAACCGATTTGGACCGTAAACAAATAGTCTATATTTATACTATAGACCCTCCCACATAATATCATTACTTATATCATATCAAAGCTAAACCCTTATTCTATGCTTTTGCTATATTGCTGCTTTGCTTTTGTTTTTTGTTGCTTCTATTCATGGAGTTTTGTTACTTTTGTTTGTCGAAAACTAGTTTTTTTATTGTTTTTATTTGATACTATGTTTAGTTTTAATATAGAGAAAATCTCTACTTCATGTAATGTGTATCCAGTTTTATTACTTTTGTTTGTTACTTTTGTTTGATGCTATGTTTATATTTTTATGAAAATAAAATATTCTATATATATATTTTTTTGTTATTTAATTATGTGAATTCGTGATCCTAAACCGATCCAATCTGTGTTTAAACGAATTGATTCGGATTGGTTCCACGATCTAAAGGATTAGATTGGTTCCAATTTTTTAATAATCTTAAATAACGAATTAGTCCTAATTTTTCCTCAATCCAGACTAATTCAAACTATACTCACCCCCGTATGGAAGCATCTTATCCATGAAAAATTATTTGATAATCCTCACCAATTACTAAACACGTCACATTACACATTGCCACTCTTTATTTCTCATTATCTAACATAAAATTGAAAATTTCACATTTTCACCTGAAGCAAGCAAGTGATCTTGCTCAAGAAAGACCACCCAGGGTTGTGTTTGGTATAACTTTTGAATCATGATTTTACTTTTTAGTTCGAGTACATCGTTTGTTTATAGTTTTCAAAAATTATTTTCATACCCACTTTTGAAAATTTGTGTACCCGAATGTCCCTCTGAACGTCTGGCCGGTTGATCGGAATAGTGTTTATGTTTTTTTTTACACTTTTTATTTTTATATTTTAAATAAAAAATATTTTCAATTAAAATTTTTTTTTATGAGTTTTGAATAGAATTTTGAGTTGTGTGTTTGGTTATGAGTTGTAAGTTTTTGTATCAAAAATTATATCACATCCTCAATTCAAAAACTCTTTTCAAAACTCTTTTTAAAACTCATTCACCAAATAAATTCTCTACACTCAAATCAAAATTCTAAAACTCACAAACTCAAAATACAACTCATATTTTCAAATTATATTTAGAAAATCCTACCAAACGCAGCCCTTGTTTTTCTCCAATGAGTTTGGTTTTTGTGCGCGGGATGCCCTCTACTTTGTGAAAAATGGAAAATGAGTGGAAGCTCTAATTAGAGCTACCACTAATGATGTGGCAGTGGCAGTCCCACTGCCACAGTATGTGTTGTGTCTTTTTTTTTTTTTTTTTGTTACTTTTCTACCTCATTAGTGGTAGGTTTAAAGTCACCAAATTAATAATCTCTAACATGATTAGTGAAAAATTATTTAATTCTTAATATTTTTTACCAATCACAACACATTATATCTTTTATTATTTTTTTAATTACTTAATACAAAATAATAAACCTCACTTGCAATAGACGCCTCATAACCAATCAATAGCCTTTTGTACTTAGTAGTTTGAGAGTCTTGTCCGTCTGTTTCTTCCTTATTTCTTAATTGTTGTAAAAAGTGGGGGTTAAAATGTTTGTCGGTGACCAAAGTGTGGGTGACATTGTGGTTAAGGCTTGAGATTTAAGTTTTAAAGTCATATGTTCAATTTCTCTTTCTTTTTGGCCAATCTTTTTAACGAAACATAGTTGTTTAGGAGGTTGGAGCTCAAGATGTCTAATTAGTACTTAGAGTGGGTTTAATACTTTTCCGCTGTGCGAGTCTTGACTCAAGCGGAGTTTGTCTTGGGATGTCGGGCAAAGTTTCCAGGTTATAATTTTCTCGCTCGGAACGGCTAACAGGACACCTGATAATCTCTGTAAAGAGCGCTGTCTTGAACCTCCGGAAAGATAGACAGAATTTTCCTGTAAAAAAAAAAAAAAAATGTTTGTTGGGTCCCATATCCTGTTTTTACTCAGACATAGTTACGGGTGGGAATCATATGATAGGATCGATAGGCGTAGGACAAATAATGTTGTCTTTTTGCAAGGAATCCGACTACAACAAGAACTACTGCTGCTAGTGGATGACTTCATATTTTTGCATTTCTTTCCACAATCAAATCTTTTCTTTGCAAATAGCCATAACAGCTTGTCCTCCTCCTAATGGCATCGTGATCTATTTCATATTCAATTAAGTAAAAAAAAATCAGAATTTTTAATCAAAGCCTAAATTAAATTTATTATATGATGGGTTCACAACGACAATATGCACCATTGATTTACAGTCTGAGAAATTTTTTGATTAATTGAAGAGAAACAACAGTAAAATGCATAAATGTGGGACAAACGCATTTGACATTTATATACTTTTTTTTATTTATTATTATTTTAATGTGTATGTAGCACACAGCTTATAAAAGCCATTATCAAATCCAGAGGCGGAACAAGAAATTTTATCTAAGAAGGAGACAATGTATATATATAAAAAATTATTAAATTAATTTTGATACATTATTAATTGAACATAATTCCTTATATAAGTGTTGCTAAATAAGTATTTCACCAGAAAAATAAATAAATTGAACAAATAGTTTTATAATTTAAAAAAAAAAAATTGAACTATTGATTAGATCTCAGTATAAAATCAATTAAAAACAAAAAATATAATCAAATAAATAAAAAATAAAAAATGATTAAGACCTCTAAAACATAATTATCAAATTTGTACTTTAATGACGATGAAGGTTACATGTGAGTTAATTATTTAAAAATCAATTAATTAAAACTCAACCCTTGTCATACCATTGTGAATAAATTTATGGGTGAAATTTTAAGTGCTCTAACATTAATCACAAAGACGTATACATATCATTTAATTTTTGAAATTAAAAAAAAAAAGATGATACGTAACTTTTGTATTAATAAAATGGGCAAATTACAAACACCCCCTCGAGATTTGATAAAAATACAGATTCTCCCCTGAGGTTTGAGAAATTACAAATTACTCCCTGAGGGTCAAATTTTCATAACAAATTAGGGAAAATTAGGAGGGAATCTGTATGAAAATAAAAACCTCAGGGGGCAATTTGTTATGAAAATATAAACCTCAGGGGGTGGGATGTAATTTTTCAAACCTCATGGGGAAATCTGTATTTTTACCAAACTTCGAGGGGGTGTTTGTAATTTTTTCTAATAATTGACTTGATAAAATTAATACTATTATTTAAAATATAAAAAAATTACACATAGTGAAATATTAATAAAATAAAAAATCAATAAAATAATTTTATAAATTTAAATTATCATCCCATTATACATTTTATATTATAAATACTCATAAATATAAAATTAGTAATAAATCATCCCAACCGGACACCTTACTCTGTATGCTCAATATAATGTAATTGTATGCATTAATGAATTGCTCTCTTGTTGTTGTGATGGCAGAGAGTTTTGTTGAAGCTGATAGAGAGGAGGAGGAGGCGCTATCGCTTCACAAAACAGCCCATGAAATGTTCATTGATGGGGATGAACCTCCCCCTCGCTACATAGTCAAAGAAAGCATTTTTGGGAGTTTACATTCATCTTCTTCTCCTCTTCCATTGATTCCCATTCCAGTTATTGACATCGCTCTTCTCTCCTCCCCCCAACAACTCCACAAACTCAGATCAACTCTCAGCTCTTGGGGTTGCTTTCAGGTTTATTTTCTTACCATTTCTCTTCTGAGAAAAAAGCTATTCTTCTTTCTATTCATTTGATTTCCTGATTTTCTCTTGGCTTTCTTGTCCATTTTTATACTAGTATTCAGTGGTGTTGTTATCTCTTGGTACTTCTTCTCAGTGTGTATGTTTCGAAAGCATTGTGGTAATTAATGTCTGACAGTTCAAAAACACCCCATACTAAAACCAAAATTAGGGTTAAATGCATTGTTCATCACCAAAATATACAATTGGTTTTTATTTGGGTTTATGATATGTCAATTTGGACTATAAAACTTATCCAATTTGGCCATGTTTGTTTGGGCGGACTGGATTAGCATTCCATGACTAATAGTCCTATGACTACCAATCTGTTGGATTATGTATCCTATCTTAACTAATAGTCAAGTTTAAAATAATTAGTCCGTATTTCAATTGTTTAACCAAACATCAGATTAATAATTTTATTGGACTATTAGTCCAATCCCAAGCTCATGTCCACCCAAACAAACATGGCCTTTGTGTTTGAATGATTACACCACCAATTTCATCTAAATTTGTCATACCCATTATGAAATTTGTATATAAATAGTGTGAAGGATCACTTCGCTTTTATACACAAAAGCTGACCAAATTGATACAGTTGAAATACGGGACAATAAATTACACCAAGTGAAAATTATTATATAATACATATGTTGACTCCCCTTGATTATCTTAACCATAAGATTAACCGGGTTTGATTTCAACAAATCTGTATCAAATAAGTGAAAAAATGTTATGGGCATTTAGTTTATTTATTGCTGTTTTGCTGGGATGACAAGATGTACGCAAAATGAGAGTAAGGCCGGTACATCTTGTTACCCAAAACCCGCTTTAATTGGAACTTGGTGCACTGGATTACAATTTTTACTGTATAATTCTGTTGATATAATAATTAAAGGAAGTGCATAACTGTTGTCATGTCATGACTGAAACTGGCTTGTGAGTTTTAGGCAATAGGGCATGGTATTCCAGATTCATTCCTTGACAAGGTACGGGATGTTGCAAAACAATTCTTTTCACTTCCAGTGGAAGAGAAAAAGAAGTACTCTCGAGCGGAAAAAGATGGCGAAGGGCATGGGGGTGACTTAATAGTCTCACACAAACAAGTTCTCGATTGGTCAGATCGCCTCGCTCTTAAAGTACTCCCTGAAGATCAAAGAAGACTCAATCTTTGGCCAGAATCTCCAGCTGATTTTAGGTAATTTAATCGTCGGTAAAAGTACTTACAAAATAAAATGTATGAACTAGATTCATTTGAGACGTGACACTTGGCAAAAATTTGTTTAATAGGGACCAAGGTCAGTATGGAAGAAAAAAAATATGTTATCTTTTAAAAAATCACAATTGTTTCATTACATTCTTTCTTACATAAGCGTCATGAAAAAAATTAGCATACAAAATCAATGGTTCAATATTAGTGATTTCTTAATATTTATCTCAATTATTTCATACAATTTTTGAGCCACATAATTAGGATCCTAAGGTATAATTTCTTATAATGTCATTCTAAGGTATTTTATTAGTTGATATAATTTATACAAATAAACAATTAGCAATGACATTTACAAATTAAATCAATAGAATTGATGTCATTAATTACATAATATGTGAAATAGTAGGGAGGGAGTCATACCATCTATATTGTAGAAATACTCGTAATACAAAGAGTCAAAAAAAAAAAAAGAAGGTTTCAAAACTTACAGACGATTTAATATAATTGTAAAAATATTCAAAAACTAGAGAAGTAATAGACCAATTTTGTAAAATTCGGTGGCGATGGTCTGCCCTTATCTTTGTTCCTGACCATACACTTCATTTTCTAGTTACTTTTCTGGCTGCTACTCCTTTGCTATGCAGTTTTTTTTTTCAAACCTAATAACAAGTTGACAATAAGGAACCGACATTAATATGCATATATGATACATTGGCATGTTGGTGTTGCAGAGAGATCACACATGAGTATTCGTTGAAGGTAAAGTGTGTTCTAGATATTCTCTTCAAGGCCATTGCTAAGTCACTGAACTTGGAAGAAGACAGCTTTTTGAACCAATTTGGACAGAGAGCACAATTGATTGCAAGGTTTAACTTCTACCCACCATGTCCGAGGCCAGAACAAGTTCTTGGCCTGAAACCTCACTCAGACAAGTCAGGAGTGACGGTGCTGTTGCAAGACAAGGAAGTGGAAGGTCTTCATGTTCTCAAAGATGATCAGTGGTTCAGAGTCCCCATTGTTCCACATGCCCTTGTTGTCAATGTTGGGGATCAAATGCAGGTACAAAGCTTCTCTTCTACTCATGATTTGTTCACTAGATTGCTTTGATCTGTTTATCTGACTCTGTATGTTTTTTTCTAAGTAAAATTTATTATTGTAAGGGGAAAGTTGACAAGGAAAAGTCATGAGTAATAAGGCCTAAAACCTGTTTGATTAGTAAGATTATACTATATGATTGAGATTATTAATTTATGTGACTCACATTCCAGTGTTTTATTGAAATTTTTGTTATCCAAATTGAATTTTGAAAGACATTCTATCTAACAAAATTTGCCGATTTGTTAATCCTACAACTAATAATGCAAAATAAACATATAATTGAGATTGTATATTTCCATACCTATTACAAAACAAACATGAATAAGAGGAGATTATTTATTTCATTAATCCAACTGAATAATTAATCCTACACTAATCCCATGAAGATTATATTGTTAATACCCTCACCTGCTAATCAAACATGGCCTATATGTGTTGTTTTGAGCAAGAGTAATGTAAAATTCAGGAGTCTTGGAGCACCAATTTAACATGTTGACATGGTGCTTCCCAGACCAATAGGAGTTATAGCCATTGGACGGGTGCAGCTGATCTAATTCTCCCAAGTCTATTTAGTGGAAGATAGGATTTGTCCTATGTAGCTCTTTTATCCAGTCTTATTGGTGGGGACACCACATGCATGGGTGCACATGCCATGGTGGCCAATGGTGGAGACAGAGGGGTGGAGGGCCATAAGCACCCAAAATTTTGAAAATTCTTCTTAGACCCCTATATATTTTTTGGTATTTATGATACAAAAATAGTATTTTTTTTCCCTCCAAGTCTTAAGAAATTTTACTTGGCCCTCCAAACTTCTAAGAATTCCACTTAGGTCCAATAGTATTTTGGATAGCTTGATACAAAATAGCACTTTGGCCCCTTAAAAGTCTAAGAAACTTTACCTGGCCCCCTAAACAATTAAAAATTTCTCTTAGGCCCTATATATATGTAGATATATTTTGGATATTTATGATACAAAATGATATTTTGGCCTTAGTCTAAGATATTTTAGACTGACCCGGTACCAAAATTTTCTAGGTCTACCACTGCACGGTAGTTCTACCTTGATAATGAGATAATTTGCAAAAATAAAGACTATGTCTACCCTTATATGCCCAAGCAGCCTAGTCTTTAAAGAAAGAAGTCTACATTTAAATTCTCAAATTTTAGTTTTTATGTCAATGGTTGCAGATAATGACTAATGGAATAATCAAGAGCCCAGTGCACCGGGCAGTGACAAACCCAGAAAAGCTGAGGATATCTGTGGCAGTGTCAAATGAGCCAGAGCCAGAGAAGGAGATTGGACCAGAGGAAGGGTTGATAGATGAGAAAAGGCCCAGGTTATACAGAAATGTTAAAAACTATGCTGCTGTCAACTTTGAATGCTTTCAGAAGGGAGAGGTAGCAATTGAGACAGTCAAAGTCTAATTTCCAGTAGATAAGATTAATGATGGTGAATAAGACTTGAGCTTTCAGACTATGTTAGACAATGCTCTTTCTCTTCTTAATGTTAATGATGGTATAGAATGTCAATGGAAGTTGTTCATACATATCACTTAAATAATAGTTATTCTGCTGCATAGAAACTAACTAATCGCAATTGGATACAATCCACTCATGGGAAAATGATTTTGTGCAATTTTCCTTTTTGCAATATTAGTATAAGTAGCTGATTTAAGCTCAAAATACAATCAATTATGATTTAACTAAATAAGTTGACTCAAAACACAATCACTTTTGTAATAATCTTGATTATTGCAAGAAAGTATTGTAGAGATCCTATTCCCCTCTCATATATGTGGCATGCACAAAAGGTGCAACACACCGCAAACGAACCAAATGTTCACGAGCTCAGCTCGTTAAGGACTCGTCTCGGCTTGGTTTGTTAAGTAAATAAACGAGCTCAAGTTTGACTTTTAGGCTCGTTCAGTAAACAAGCCGAGTTTGAGCTCAAATAAGCTTGACTCGTCAAACTCGGCTCGTTTATCTTTATTTAAATTATAAAATAAGTATATTGTAGGAAAAGTAAGAAATAATGCATAGCAGAAATAAACGGATTCGAACATACCTTTTATGCTCAAACTAAATCCATAGATCATGTGGGAGAAATACATGCCTCGATTGATGTCTTTGAATACTTCCTAACAGTAGAGTAGAACTATTAGAGAACTACCCACACTCTTCACAGTACAAATGCATGGTTCTGTGTTTCTAGAGACTCATCAGATACAGTTCAATTAACTCTCACCATATAATACGTATATTATATGGGAGTTATAACCACCCATAATTCTATGTCCTAAAGAGATGAGATAGTGGGTCATTCACATTTATTCTCAGGATAAGTTAATCCAAGTTCACTCTGATTAGGTATTTCCTTATAGGTCTTGGGTCATGCCACCATGGGCAACCTAATCGGATACGGGTTCTAAACCCGACCCAATTTCTAACATCTCCCACTCGAACATGCGGTGGTATGACACCATGCTTTCTATATCTCAATCTATCCATCAAACACGACCATACTAGCCAATGGACCGTGCGACCGCTAAGAATACCTACATATGGGAGCTCTACACTAGAAACTCAAAAGAGCCAGTATAGAGACATCAACTCAAAGATAAAAATAGTGTCTCATATACCCTAGGCTCATCCAATTACATCGGTCCAAAAACATCTCTAATTCCTCAAAAGAGTATGTTTGACCCTCTCAAATATTGTAATATATTCACACTCAATCCGCCTCTCATACAAAACGATGTGAGTTGCCGGTGGTGAATATACAATAGAGGTGTAATACTAGATGATCTTCTCTTCGCCCTCATGCCATTTAGTTTAGGATTGACCGCTTTCTCAATGATGACCCTTAAGATTGAATCATACATGATTGTAGGCAAGATACCAAAGTAACAGAATATCAACTCCTTATCTTATGACATAGTCAAAAGTCACAAAAGGGTACAAAAGTGAGTCATATCAATAATGACATGTAAGACTCACATGGTGAGGAAGTAGGGTTTCATTCTCTCATGTCATTACTCGGTCGCCAAGCACATGTAGCATGAATACATGCTACGGTGGAGTAACTCTTCCAAAGAGTGATGTCATACTTGATACACCGTACAAATCTTAGTCTAGTTGCTCTTAAGCACGTGAGTCACTATCTAGCACTTAACTCGAATTCTCTATTTGCTCGTTTTTCAGGCACCAAATGAGATCTTGCATCTGACTAATCATAACAGGCAATACATAGAAAGTGGGCACCAACATCTATGTTTAATCTTCAATATGAACTCATCTTGGCTTCAACAAAGGCGACATACATTGTGACAACCCCATCACTTATTATGCTTTAATCCTTTAGTTTTGAATGTTCTTATGCATTTAGCGTGAATTTGAATGCTAATTATGTGATTAATATGATTTTTGGATTCATATCTATTAGCCATAGGAATATCTGTTGTGATTCCTATAATAATCTGAAATTGAAGGCCTTAATGGAGTCAGAAACCAAAATCAATTAGTCTATTGTGATTGACATAATTTTTAGAGTTTAATGAATAGTTTAATTAAAATTCAATTAAGTTAAGTATTGTTTGGTTAAGTCTTAAGCTCAATTAACTAGCTTAATCCCTAATTAGTGTGTTAAGTTAATCTATGTTATAAATATGAAGGAAATGTTGATTTAGCTCATTATTCACTCAAAAATTCTGAAATTTCATTCTAGAGAGAGAGTGAGAGCAAGTTAGAGAGAGAAGCAAGAAAACTTGGATTTTGGCTAGGAGATTGAAAATTTGACCAGAAAAACTCAAGAATAGGGAGAGTGAGAGCAAGTTAGAGAGAGAGAGAGAGAAGCAAGAAAACTTGGATTTTGGCTAGGAGACTGAAAATTTGACTAGAAAAACTCAAGAATTGGTTAATACAAGTGTAATTGAAGACTTTAGGTAAATGATTAGCTCTCAATTTATGAATTTAAGTTAGCAATCATGTGAATTCAAGAAGATAGTGTGATTAGATGTGAGAATTGAGCTTATAATGAAGAAATTGGTGTTAAATCATACATGCATGCATAATTTATTAGAGTTTCATAATTTTAAGCATGATTCATGTCATCTAAGCTTGAACTGAAGGTTATAACATCCATGCATCCACGATTCATAAGGTTTTGAAGTTGAATTCCATGTTTTCAGAGTTTTGGTAAAGAATTTGAAGTCAATTGGGTCATGCATGGTGAATTCATGAGGTTTTGAACATAAGGTTTGAAGTGGGTTTTGTATTCATGTTTTTGAAGGTGGTCATGTGTTTTAGAACATGTCATGCAAAGGTTTTTGTTATTGAACTTGTGTTTTGGAGTTCAAACCGTGTTCTGAAAAACCTAGAATTTGACTGCATCGCTCGAGCAAACAAACTGTCTCTCAAGCACACATATCATGCATCCAGTATTTTTGCAAACACTTGTAGTTGGTTCGAGCGATCAAGTGACTGCTTGAGTGACCGCCATTTTATTTTGGCACCTTGGTTCAAGTGATCATTAGGCCTAGATTCAAACCATCTAGTACATTTGCAGACCATGTGGTCCGCTCGAGCAACCAATGTTGCACTCGAGCGAAGTGCTCTGTTTTAGCATATTTTGAATAGCCATATGATGATCACTTGTGCATTCTCATTCCTTTCCGAACATTCTTAATCATGAATTGAGCATCCTAAATGAATTGAAGAGTTAGAATGAAGCCTAAGAGAATTGAATGAGTTGGAGAATGATTTGAATAAGTAATGTGATTCAATGTGTGCATGTATTTATGTGAATTGTAGGTTCATCTACGAGGATGTATCAACAACTACATTCTTGTGAGTAATATCTTAGTAAAGATATTTTCTTATTTACTCTACTTTCTAAATGTCCTAATGTGGTAAGTTTTTCTGAATCTATGATTTTGCAAGTATGAATGAGTTTCTATCCATTTGATCAACATGATATTTGTGAATGTGCTTGATAAAATACTAATGTATATGATGGACCTAAGGTCGTTCTGTATATCTAAAATAGACCCAAAGTCATTCCGAATATCTGATAAGTCTGAATATCTGCTATGTGTTGACCCAATGGTCATTATACAACTGTAATTGATTAGACTTGAAGTCGTTGTACCTGATGTTGTTCTGACAAGTATGTTCTATTATGTTCTGTATCTCTATATATGTTGGACCCGAGGTCATTCTATCATGTAATAGACCCGTGGTCATTCTGTTATGATACGAAATTAATATGAGGATGATTTTATTCCAGTATTAGAACTATTTCATATAACCTTTTTACTCTGTGCTATTCACTGGGCTTTCGTTCACTCCGTTTTTATATGTATGTAGGTGAGCAGCGGGATGTCCAGCCTTAGTGAACCTGTGAAGGATACTGAGCTTTGTGGAGTCAGCCAAGGACGCCTTACCCACGAGGCTTTTGTTCTAATCTTTTATTTTCTTTGTTGGTCATGTTTGACCATGCCTGTGTATAAGTTCTGGTTTTTGTATGACTATGAAATTTGTATGATCGTGGACATGTGAGATCCTTTATGTATGTATGGGTGTGAGTCATTAGTAAATAAGAAGTTTTTGTTCATGCTAATTATGCACAAGCTCATTGGACAATATTATATTTCTACTTCCGCTTTTGGCCCCATATAATTAAGTATGATTTGATTTTTGTCTGAGGCCGTAGATAATCTCATGATTACTGGCCGGTTATAATCCAAATCTCTAGGGCTGTGTTCGGGTTGTGATATACATAGTGGATAATTCTCTTGGCTCCAAATAAAATAAACCACTTGTGTCATCCTTGCTCGCTCCCAAGCTCCAAGGGCAATTGCTCATATGAGTGAGCTAATCTTGCCTACTGACATCATCATCTGCTAATTATTGTGCCACAAAACGTAACAGCATTAATATCTATAATATCAAAAATAAGCAATCGATTAAAAAAAATGACAACCACAGTTTGCGCAATTGATAAGCATATACAATAGATTCCACCATGCATCTCACATAAAGTGTTTCAAGATCACTAACTTTTTGCACAACTACCTCTCTAAAGACATTATGGTGACCAATTTGTGTTCATCCAAGGTGTGCCCAATTAGCGCATTGAACTTTATAAGGGGCAAATTTATACATTACCGGTAGAACATCCTATTCATAACCTAATGAGCAAGGTCAAGGCCTAAACTATTCAGTTGACCATCTACAAAAGATAACACTCCTCATGCCAAATATGCCCACATAGTGTACTTCTGGCTCCAATCTTGTATGTCGTAGAACATATCTGGTCACGTTGTAGCACATATTTGGAACCTTGTGTCGTGATGCATATTTCATGTTGTAGCAAATCTTTGGAATGTCATGACATAGCACATATCTGGAATCTCATGTCGTAGCACATATTTGGAAATTGTTGTCGTAGTACATACTTGATATTAGGTATTTTTATGTCGTAGTACATATTTCCATAAGTATTGCATGTTCCGACGTGGTATGTACTTGGTAAAATGACTAAATTAATGCATGCCATAGTAC